CTTTATCTGGGGGCTGGTAACATAGTTGTGCTTAATGAAAACCTTGGAAGCCAAACATGTATGATATATGTATTTCCCTGTGCATATGATATATTTCAAGAAAACCTTTGAAGGAAAAAAATGCAACTGAATCTTAGGATTGTACTTGTAGTCTGTTAACTCTAGGCTCCATCAGGCAGAAGAGGAGTGGAAAAGATTGGACATTACATTCATTTCATTCCATTATGACACTTATTAGCAGTGTGCCCTAAGGGAAATTTCCTGAGCCTCTGTTGACCCAGTAAAATTCCTATGGATTTGCCCTCCTCACTACTTCATCATGTTGTGTAAATTCCAAAGGGAAGCGCCGTAAACTGGCAGATCACAAATAAATGTATGGCATTATTCTTTTTTTTATTTTTAAAGTTTAATTATTTATTTTTGAGAGAGAGAGACTGCAGGGGAGAGGCAGAGAGATGGAATCCCGGGCAGGCTCTGAGCTGTCAGCACAGAGTCTGATGTGGGGCTTGATCCCATGAACCGTGAAGTCATGACTTGAGCCAAGATCAAGAGTCGGACACTTAATGGACTGAACCACCCTGACCCCCCCAATTTATGGCATTATTCTTTAATAGCCCTTAAATATCTGGAGCTTGTGCTATGTCAGCAAAAAATGTTGAATTCCGCATTAGAAAGATTAAGCAATACTTTAATATAGCCACCAACCTTCCATAATTCAGTGACGTCACTCATGATATTATTTCTGACGCGTACGAAGTCCAGTTGGTGTTTCCTGACTTCATGGTCTACAGGGATCCCGCTCTCATCTATTTATTTCTGTATTTGAAAAGAAGACACCACAGAGAAGATACACCTACTTAACTGCTTCGTTCCTGAAGAGGTGTGCGTCATTTCCACTCACATTCTTTCAGGGAGAGGTGGCCATATGGCCCCATCTAGTTGCAAACAACCTAAGAAAAGTATGAATCTTTATTGGTCCATTAGCCGTGTCTGCCACATCGCCCTTTTGTTCTCCTCCACAAACCATAAATCAATTTTTGAGGCTCTGTCGGTTGAGTATTTCACACCAAAATTCATAGAAACACAGAAATCATTTGATCTACAAACACACGTAACTCTCTGGAACATATCTTCCCAGCAGTTGACTTTAAACTCAATCTGAATACCGAAGATTTGCTCACCACTTCTGTAAGATATCTTACATTCATGAACAAACATTAGTTATGCCTAACTCTCAGTACCTAAGTGTCAGCTCATACCAATGAACTGAAAACACTCTACTCTTGATTTTTAAGGTAAAAGATGTCTTGGTACAGTAGAAAGCACCCAGTGTGGATAACTGAGGTTATGACTTACCTTTAAATTTATTATCCAATGTAAATACTTGAGATGAGAGAAAATTCTGATGTAGGACTTTTTGTAACCTTCATAAATTTAATTTATCAAAACTTATTGTTAAATATTGTCCTTTAAAACTTCAGAAAGGAAAGTGTTGCTTTTATAACAGAAGGCATACATAAGCTATGTGACTTAGCTCAAATCGCAAAACTTGAACCAAAATTTAGGGCTCAATATTACCATTCTGCCACTTAATTCTCATTAAAGTAGGAAAAATGTCATAAAATAAAACTATAATTATATCTGTGTGTAGATTGCCCTAAAGATCAAGTTTAAGAAAAGATTTGATCAATCTGGTGGACTGTTTTACTTCTTAAACTGGTTATTCTGCTCTTTGATAGTTGACCCCAGTGGTACCAGGAACTGTAATTACATTAATGATCAGTGTAAATTGTATTTGTCCCTCATTTTTTCATTCCTTTTTTGTACTTGCAGACTTAAGATTGCACAAGATAATGCAGAAGGTATCACTTTGGGGAGTCTTCATCATATATATATAGCCTTTTGCTCCCAGGAAGTGGTCATTTCATTTTAATAATCCTATTTCTTTCTCTCTCTCTCCATACACACACACACACACACACACACACACACACACACACACACACACACACAGGTGTCTGATGCCTGAAATGAATTTTCAAGATTAAATGTCTTTATGCTAAGTATTCAGCACTCCAGAAACTACTGCTTCTGAAAGTGTGCACAGGCCAGGAATGAAGAGTTCTATTTTTACAATGAGATGCAGATTTCCTATTAAAAAGTAAAGCTTTCATTTCCAATGTTATAAAGGACAGTATTTGAGTTTTGGTGAATTAATTTAGGAAGCTAAAGTAGTCCCATATAAGCATTTTCTCTAGTCTATGTATTTATATTTGATTATAAATTTGAACATTATTTGAACATTGACTCTGCGTATTTGGGTCAAATAAATATTGGCAGCTGATATTTAAGTGATCAATTTTTGTTGCACCATTTTCAATTAAATTTGGTCTCATGGCTATTTATACCATCTCAGGTATTGATTGTCAAAATATTTTTATATTCTGCTTCATTTTTCTCTATGCCTCAATAATGCTTTTTTTTTTTTTTAAACCAATCCTTTCTTCCTTAAGGCAAAAAACAAGATGGACACATAGTAGAGACGAGGAGATATTTCAGGATAGAAGGAAGATGAGAAGAATTGTTCCTATCTTTCATCCAGCTTTAAATAGCATTTCAAAATGTACTTATTGAGTATGCAATGTGGGGCACTGTGGGCTGGGGTCTTTACTATTTCCCTGGTACCGTGTGGACTCTGTGGTCACAAGTAAAAACAAGAAGTAGATAGTAAGTTGCATCACCATGGTCCTTAACCCCTGTGTACCTAGCAATGAGCACAATGACTAGCATGTAATAGGTGATTATAAATTAATCAAGTATGAATGGTAGGAATTCCTCTACCTCTTGGCCATACATTAAGGATCCTTCTCCCAATACTGTAGTTAAGCCAAATAGGCTCCTCAAATGCCCAAAAAAACCCACTAATATCCCAAACTATAATTTTTCATCTGAAATTCTTTTATGCTTCATTCAATTAGCTAAAAATGTCATTCTTATTAAAGTGCAAAACAACAACAAGAAAATTAAATCCAGAGAGTCAATAACATTTGAAGTCATTAAATTTTTTTTTTGCATTTATTTATTTTTAAGAGACAGATACAGAGGGTGAGCAGGGGAGGGGCAGAGAGAGAAGGAGACACAGAACCCGATGCGGGGCTTGAACCCACAAACTGTGAGACCATGACCTGAGCCAAAGTCAGACACTTAACCAACTGAGCCACCTAGGCGCCCCATAAAGTCATTTTAAATTATTTACACTTAATGACAAATGAGTATCAGATGGTTTTTTCCAATGGCGTTAGGTTGTAAGAGGGAATCTTCCTTTGGTCTTTGGACATCTGAAGTAGGTTGAGAAAAACACAAGTCAGTAAGATGAGTTTAAATGAGTGACAAACACCAAGAAACCTCTGCTTCTGTCACACTGTTGTCTATGGGTGACAGAATACTAAAAATGTAGAGATGAGCACCAGCACTTGTAAGAGTGCCACAGATTTAAATTACATTTGCTGATTATCTGTGCTCTTGAGGTTATTTACCCATATTGAATGTGTATGGTGGAAATACCATACAAAATATGCTGTTGCCCATCTCTTCCCAAGTCTGCTTTCAGTGACGTCACATTGATAACTTGAAATCAGCCATGGTAGGGCATTCACCCCACAGATACTGACAAACACCACAATCGTGACTTCATTTTGACAGCAAACCAGTTGCTAAACATTTACCAGTGTATCAGTGGCTTGCTGTTTTGTTAATGTCTGGTGAGGGTGATCTGATCCTAAGGTAATGTCGGTTACTGAGGCAGAAGAAGAGGAAAATACTCACAACTCGAATACAGTACCCATGACATAGCAAGACTTAAAAATATGTTGTGTCTATGGAGCGTGAGCCATGATATTTTGGAAGCACTCCCACCTTTGAAGGGATCATTCCAGTCTGATCAAAGAGCATTGGCAAGAATGATCTTTGCAGTTGAAGAGCAAGTCCTCCCACTTTTCTGGGTGCAGTAGAAAAGCCTCAGATTTTTCTACAAACTAAGGGAAGAGTTTTCTCACCCCACTATTGGATGATACTGAGCACTTCCCAAACTTGGTGATTTGTATCTGGATCCAAAATAAATTGCATAAATGATAGAAAAAAAACTCTCAAAACTTATGACATTATTTGAACCTTTAGTTTTGTGTAATGATTCATACTTGTTATATCGTGGGGGGAAAATGCCTTGTAAGAAAAAAATAGATGTGGTAGTTGCATATCTCAAAAGCTGTTGATTATAAATTATATTTGTTTCTCAGTGTCATACAGACCAATACCTGAAGTATTTATATTGTCAGAGAACATAGAGAAGTATGGCTGACACTTGAAATTGATACAGCTGATTCTAGAACCTACGTTTCCTCCTCTCAATCCCTCTTCTGCCTCTTAGATACTACTAGGTTAAAAGATGATTTTTACATGTGACATAGGGAGGAAACTGTGAAGCTGATGGAGGGGGCATGTGACCCCTCTCAAGATCTTTAAAATCATGCTACCTCAGGGTAGCTGGTGACTCAGTCGGGTAAGCATTCAACTTCAGCTCAGGTCATGATCTCACAGTTCCGGGGTTTGAGCCCTGCGTCAGGCTCTGTGCTGACTGCTCGGAACCTGGAGCCTGCTTCTGATACTGTGTCTCCCTCTGTCTCTATCCCTCCTTTGCTCACTCTCTGTCTCTGTCTCTCAAAATAAATAAATGTTAAAATTTTTTTTAAATCATGCTACCGCTGAGACATTCTAAGAATGGCTGAGATACCACAGTTAGTTGATGTAGCTATAAACTAATAAATTTAAGAGATTAAAGTTTCGGGAATTTGTTGGTACCCACTGATTGGTGAGTGAGTCACGAGAGGAATTATCATACCCATTGTATCCCTGAATCTAGTCAAGGAAACAAAAGCATTGAACATGCTAAAATAAAGGGAATTTAGAGCAGAAAATTGGTTTACACAGGTCACGAAAGAACTATGAGACCAAACAAGGGACGTGAAGACAGTCCAGAGGTAATTAAGAAGAGGAAACTCCTACTGTCTTATACTGGAGGGCCAGAGAGAGCAGGTGACATTGCAAAAACGTTCAGGATCCGTTCAGGATCACCTGGCGGACAGGATTTTCAGGGTCAAGAGCCCCAGAGGTGATGATACCACTGCTACACATGCCACCAGGAGAGAGACAAAGGGAGACAGAAAAATACCGCGACTTCTCTCTTCCTTCAGCTCCTGGTCTCACACCAGTGATTCTCATTATATATAACCATGAGCCGGTGCACAGTGGACCCCTGGACATAGAGCTTCCAAGGATCAGCAGAACAAGAAAAGGAGATGGAATAGTTCTTAGGGAAATCAGGAGCAGGATGAATAAATCCACAAGATTCAAAATATCTACACTTGTACCTGGATGGATACATGCATGCAGCGGTAGGTGAATTTCACAGATTTCCTCCAGTGTCCATGATTGTCACATCGGGGGAAAAAGGGAAATTTCCTTGCTCAGGTATATGATCTGAACAAGCATTTAATTACTTCCTGAATTAGAAGTGTACACGCTTCTAATTATTTTCACCATTCAATTGTTGTTTAGCTTCCTAAATGAGCACAAGATTGCCCAAATAGAGAGAGCCTATTACTGATCCAAGAGACTCTTATCTTCCATTATTCTAAAGCTCTCTATCTATACTCATCCTGTGAGAGGTACTCCAAAATGGAAAACTGGATTGGTTGGATGGTTAACCCACTATTTTCACCTTGTCTTCTTTCAGATGTGCTGAGAAATATGAAATGCCCAAAAGGCAAGAAGGAGGCAAAGAAGAAGAATACTCGACAACCTGAATGAATTGTGCTGAATCATTGAGAGCTGGCTCTCTTTGCAAAGTGCTTTTATTAACCCACATTTTATCTTTGCATCACCCCCCTCCCCCGGCAAAATGGCTTGTGGTAACATGTTAATATTATTATGGCTACCTTTGCCATGTTCTTATTTTACCAACACAAAAACTCAGAAAATTCCTAATATTAGCCAGTACTTGGTTTTATCCTTCTTAAAGCTACTTCTGTTTTATGCAGATCTTTTTTTCTGAGTTTATTTATTTATTTTGAGAAAGAGAGAGCACACACATGCAAGGGCAGGGGAGAGGCAGAGAGAGGAAGAGAGAGAGAATCCCAAGCAGGAGCCAGATGCAGGGCTCAAACTCACCAACCGTGAGATCATGACCTGAGCTGAAATCAAGGGTCAGATGATTAAACAGCCAAGCCACCCAGGCGTCCCCATGCAGACCCTTTTTATAAAGCTATTCAGAGGGTCCTCTTTGGTGTCATAAACTTAAACTAAGGAAATCACCTTCCCTTCCTTCCTGACACACGATTTCATGAGGAATGCATCCCGTTGTGACTCAGACAAGCACAGTTCTTTCAAAGCAGAAAAGCCATCTATTGTGCTTGCTTTCATGTGCTGTCTGTATACTATACAAATTTGTACATTTCAACTATACAAATTTGTTGCAGAAAACAGGCCATTTGAAAGCATAAACAAACCTCATAGTATTCAAATAACCTTTAAACTATTTAAAAATATATTGCTTTAAGGCCCTCCCGCCGCCGACCGCCCTCGCTCGCTGGAGCTCCCCGCCCGCCGCCCGCCGCCCTCCGTCGGTTCTCTCGGTTCTCTCGTTAGTCTGCCGCCGTCTCCTCAGCCACCCGCCGTTGTCACCGAGCTTGTCTCCGAGCTAGTCTCCGAGCTTGCGACTCTCGGACAGGCGCCCTTGGCGTGGAGAGGTCGGATTGCGAGTCGTCGCCTGAGTGCCTTTCATCTGAGAAGTTCAAGGTACTTGTAGAACTTCTGGCACACAGGCCGTGGGTCTTGCAGCACACGTGTAAGCGTGGCTGCCATCAGGAAGAAGCTGGTGATTGTTGTGATGGAGCCTGTGGCAAGACTTGCTTGCTCATCGTCTTTAGCAAGGACCAGTTCCCAGAGGTGTATGTAGCCACAGTGTTTGAGAACTATGTGGCAGATATTGAAGTCGATGGAAAGCAGGTAGAGCTGGCTTTGTGGGATACAGCTGGGCAGGAAGATTATGATCGCTTGAGGCCTCTCTCCAATCCGGACACTGATGTTATACTGATGTGTTTCTCCATCGACAGCCCTGATAGTTTAGAAAACATCCCAGAAAAATGGACTCCGGAAGTCAAGCACTTCTGCCCCAATGTGCCCATCATCCTGGTTGGGAACAAGAAGGATCTTCGGAATGATGAGCACACAAGGCGGGAGCTGGCCAAGATGAAGCAGGAGCCGGTGAAACCGGAAGAAGGCAGAGATATGGCGAACAGGATTGGTGCTTTTGGGTACATGCAGTGTTCAGCAAAGACCAAAGATGGAGTGAGGGAGGTTTTTGAAATGGCCACGAGAGCTGCTCTGCAAGCCAGACGTGGGAAGAAAAAATCTGGGTGCCTTGTCTTGTGAAACCCTGCTGCAAGCACAGCCCTCATGTGGTTAATTTTGAAGTGCTGTTTATTAATCTTAGTGTATGATTACTGGCCTTTTTCATTTATCTATAATTTACCTAAGATTAAAATCAGAAGTCATCTTGCTACCAGTATTTAGAAGCCAACCATGATTATTAATGATGTCCAACCCACCTGACCACCGGGGTCCTTCTGACACCGCTCTCTAACAGCCCTCCTCTGCACTCCCACCTGACACACCAGGCGCTAATTCAAGGAATTTCTTAACCTCTTGCTTCTTTCTAGAAAGAGAAACAGTTGGTAACTTTTGTGAATTAGGCTGTAACTACTTTGTAACTAACATGTCCTGTCTGTCATCTGTCAGCTGCAAGGTACTCTGGTGAGTCACTACTTCAGAGCTTTACTCCTTAACAGATATTGTCATAACTCTGTGATGGGCATCCAATTTTTGAAAATGTGCTCATCCAGAAAGACCCAAATCCATGCAGCTGTGGCAGTTACAGTTCTGTGGTTTCATGTTAGTTACCTTATAGTTACTGTGTAATTAGTGCCACTTAATGTATGTTACCAAAAAATAAATATATCTACCCCAGACTAGATGTAGTATTTTTTGTATAATTGGATTTCCTAATACTGATATTTGTCATCCTTGCAGAAAGTGTATTGGTTTTTTAAAAAAGAAAGTGTATTTGAAAATAAAGTCAGATGGAAAATTCATTTTTCAAATTCCCGTTTTGTCAGTTTCTCTGATAAAAGATGGCCATATCACCTGAAAAAAAATAAAAATAAAAATAAAAATATATTGCTTTAAAAGTTAGAGTATAAAAAAAAACTAAAAGAATCAGGCACACTCCCCACCAGATTACCTAACTTTTAGCCACACGGAATTCACGGTGAATTCTGGTTTACAAGTAAAAGACAAGTCAACTTGAAAGGTGATCATAGAGGACAATGTTTCTTCTCAATGTGCCTGCTTTGGAGCCATATTTCTGCTGCCCACTCAAAAATCTCCTCATGAGAATTTTATGATATATCAGAGCCAGAAATAAGAGATGTTAGTGCTGAGAAGGACGGCTGGTGCTCTATGATTCAATTCACATATCCTTTCTGCATCAGACTCTTTGAGATCATCATTGAGTTAGTCTAAGAATGTTGAAGCTGTAGAATTCAGAGCAGTACATTACAATATGCCAATATTACCAGTCTCCTGCTCTGACATTCTCCACTGATTGACAGATGAAGGAGAAGGAAGGGCAGTCACCATTAACTGAAAGTAAATGAAACTGGAATATTAAAATTCAGGATTATTTGAGTGACTGAATTGGCTGGCAGCGTTTTCTCCAGTTAAGGGTGGGGAAAGATTAATTCTGCACATGACACCACTTCGTATTTATACAAGTCTGCTGGGACAATTGTTTGCCTTGAATTGTTTTCTTCATTCATTTCAGTCAGACACTTGTGTTGACTGATTTTTCTTTTTGATGTATGGAATGACTGTTTGACTGAATTTACCATTTAATTTCCACTAATGCACTGTAAAAACAATACATTAGTCAAATTAGATTGGCAGGTATGAAAAGCTTACCCCAGACCTAGAGAGAAATATAATATTGCTTTCTATAGATTTGTAAGTCATATGTTCTGGGGTTTGGGGAATGGTTCCAATTTTAGCTATTTTGCCACATGCCTTGGTTTTAGTTTCAAAATGTAGGGCCACTGATCCCATAGTGAAAATAAGAACTGGGGTGCCTAGGTGGCTCAGTCAGCTAAGTCTGACTCTTGAGTTTGACTCAGGTCATGATTTCATAGTTGTTAGATCGAGCCCTGTGTCAGGCTCTTCGGTGGGAATGGAGCCTGTTTAAGATTCTCTCTCTCCTGTTCTCTCTGCCTCTCACCTACATGAGTGTGTGCTCGCTCTCTGTCTCTGTCTCTGTCTCTCTCACGCACACACACAAAAGAACTGTGAAGTCCAGATAAAAATAATTTTGTATGAAAATGAGAATCACATAACAAAATCAGAAAAAAAGTGATTATGAGATAAATTTTATAGAGTTTCTTACTTACCAGGACATGTTGCTATGTTAAATTTTGGGGTATTATTCTAGAAGTTTGTTAGGAATAAATGTTTCAAATAGATTCTGGAAAATTTTATTTTTTAATATTTATTTATTTATTTATTTATTTATTTATTTATTTATTTTGAGAGACAGAAAGAGAGCATGAGCACAAACAGGGGAGGAGCAGAGAGAGGGGGAGAAAAAACAATCCTGAGCAAGCTCTGTACTATCAGCATGGAGCCTGACTTGGGGCTTGATCCCATGAGCTGTGAGATCATGACCTAAGCTGAAATCAAGATTTGGATGCACACCTGACTGAGATAGATACCCAGGTGCACTCTAGAACATTTTCTTTATTTACAATTTTATTCTTCCAATGTTTAGAGTTACTATGACAGGCCATCTCTTCCTGTCCCATCCTATAACTTGGGGCTCTTATTGAACATTTGGGAATCGGTGGCATAGGTGAGAAAGAGAGACAATTTTCTAGTACGTGATTGCCATTCAATAATGCTGATTTCATAAAGTGTTTTCCTCCATAGTTGACTAATTTATCACGGCAAATATGGTTAGATACTACTCTTGGAAATGAAGATCTTTAGAAGTTTTCCATAATCCAAGGAGCACCTGGGTGGCTCAGTTGGTTAAATGTCCGACTTCAGCTCAGGCATGATCTCATAGTTCATGGGTTCAGGCCTCGCATCAGGCTCTGTGCTGACAGCTCAGAGCCTGGAGCCTGTCTTTGGATTCTGTGTCTCCCTCTCTCTGACCCTCCCCTGCTCATGCTGTCTCTATCTCTCTCTCAAAAATAAATAAAACATTAAAAAAATTTTTAAGAAGTTTTCCATATTCCTTTCACCACTCTCTATTCTTGTTCAAAGCAAAATTAAAACTTTGTAAAATTAACATAGTAGCTTAATTATAATTTTTAATCTTAAAATAATCTGTGAAAATGGGAAATTCTTGGTAGGAAAAAGCTATGGGAGATGAGAGAAAGCCATCATAGAATTCAGAAGACAACAAAACATATTTTAAAATGGTGCATAGGGACTTTTGTTTCCAATTATATCAACTTACCCTGGAAAAAAACCCACTAGAGAAGCTAGAGTAATTATTAACTACATTTGACTGTGGGCATTAGAAAGCTACTGAGTTAACCAAGACCTAGAAAAGTAAACTAGAGAAAGAAACTGAAGTAAGAATAATGTTCTGTACATGCTTTTCCAGTCCAGGCATTTTGAAAGTATTGATGAAAAACAAGAATCTGAATATAATTTTGTATGTCAACTATAGTTCAATTAAAAATAAATAGATTTAAATGTTTTATTTATTTCTGAGAGAGAGAAAGACCGCGTGAGCAGGGGAGGATCAGAGAGAGAGGGAGACACAGAATCTGAAGCAAGTCCAGACTCTGGAAAACACAGAATCCGAAGCAGGCACAAAGCCCGACATGGGGCTCGAACCTAGAACTGTGAGATTATGACCTGAGCCAAAGTCGGAGGCTTAACCGACTGAGCCACCCAGGCACCCCTAAGTAGATTTTAAAAAGAACCAAACTCCATAAGAGTCTGAAAAGCCTAACTGAATGGAACTGCTAAGAAACAGAAAGCTAGTAGGTCTCAGGGCAATAAGAGATCAGAGTGGGAATTGGGGATGAGGGGGTGGCATTAACAAGGTTAAGAAGGCAGCAAGAATTTTAAGGACCAAGACCCCAGAAAAAAAAGAGGTTCAGAAAATGGGGCTGTATGTTCACCAATAATGTTCCCTTGAGGTGTTTTTTGATTTAGGTAGACGAGGCAAGACACTGAGAAAGTAAACAAAAGCTAACTGAAGTCAAAGCAAAGATTTATCAGATTCATCATGCTGGAGAGATAAAAGTTAAGGTACAGAGCCCACCAAGAAAGAGCGGACCAATTGAAAACTAAGGATATGAGCTGGGACCATTAAAAGTCTGTGTGTGTGTGTATGTGTGTGTTAGTACAGTTGATGAAACAGATCTAAGCTGAAATTTATAAAAAAAGAAAATGAGTATCAAGTTTATTCAGTGATTAAGGTGATCTGCCCCCTCAGCACCCTACCTGAAACCAGGAAATTCTCTCTAGAGAAAAATAACATCGTTCAGATTTTCTACAGTGTTTCATATCCCAAGTCTGGTATTCATTGGAAAGTCACCAAGACTAAGAAAAGAACAAGAATTAATAATAACAACAATATCTACTATAGCCAAATTATGAAAAGAGCCCAAATGTCCATAGATTGATGAATGGATAAAGATGTGGTATACACACACACACACACACACACACACACACAAAGGAATATTACTCATTTGCAATGATGTGTATGGAACTAGAGTATATTATGCTAAATGAAATAGGTCAGTCAGAGAAAGATAAATATTATATGATTTCTCTCGTATGTGGAATTTAAGAAACAAAATAAATGATCACAAGGGAAAAAAAGTGAGAGAGGCAAATCAAGAAACAGACCCTTAACTATAGAGAACCAACTAATGGTTACCAGAGAGGTGGTGGGTGAGGGGATGTGTTAAGCAGAAAGTTCAAGAAAATAGACAGCAAGGTGGTGCATTTAAAAGACAACTAGAAACTGTGACATATTTGAAGTTAAAATGAAAACATTTTTTTAAAAACTTACTAAAGTTAAAACTCAGTAGTAGAGTGGATGGGGGTGAAGAGAAATTAGTGAAATGAAGACAGGTAGTAAAAATATTAAGACTGAAGCAGGAAAACAAAAAACCAAAAAGCACAGAAGACAGCATTTGAGACATATGGGGCATAGTAAACATTTTTTATCATATGTTTAATTGGAGTCAAATAAAAAAGAAGAGAGAGATTGATTGGAGAGAAAGTAATATTTTAGAAATAACAGCTGAAAGTTTTCTAAAACGAAAAAGAATATTTCAAGCCAGAGATTCAATAATCACTAAAAACTAGCAACAAGAGTAAATACAAAGGAAATCATTCCTAGGACCATCACAGTATAATTCATAAATAGCAAAGAGAAATAGAAAAAAGTAGCTGGAGGAAAAAAAGAGATAATAGTTTCAAAGGAACAACAGTAAGATTAAGATTACAGCCTATTTCTCAACAAAAATGATGGATACTGGGAAATAAGGGAATAACATTTTTAAGTACCAAAGAAAGTAACTACCAGTCTAGAATTCTAGAGAGAGAAATGTTGTTTGAAAGAAAAGATGAAATAAAGAAATTTTCAGACAAACAAAATCTAAATACTCAAAGGACTAAGTTTATTGAAACAAAAAAAAATCGTCAAGTCCATGTCACTTAGAAAAACCAAGAATCATTATAAGGAAAGAGAAAAATTGAAAGCTGACAGATGAATGGGGCTCCTGGGTGGCTCAGTCAGCTAAGCATCCAACTTCATCTCCCATCATGATCTCATGGTTTGTGAGTTCGAGTCCCGTGTCAGGCTCTGTGTTGACAGCTCAGAGCCTGGGGCCTGTTTCTGATTCTGCGTCTCCCTCTCTCTCTTTGCTCTCCCTCCCTTTCTCATTCTCTCTTCTCTCAAAAATAAAATAGACATTTAAAAAAAACTTAAAAGAGAAGGCTGACAGATGGAAAAATTATGTCATGAAAATAAAAAAATAAAATTGAAGAAGCCATTTTGATGTTAAGGTAG